AATACATGGAATGTAATTTTAGTATTAATAGCTCTAGTGACAGAAGTGTGACTTTGGGTGATCAAATTATTAAAAGGTGTGAACGATTTAGATATCTTGGGTCCGTTTTTCAAAGCGACAGTGATATAGATGGGGATGTTAATGGTAGAATTCAAGTTGGTTGGTTGAAGTGGAGGAATGCTTCAGGCCTTTTGTGTGATAGAAAAGTATGCTTAGACTGAAAGGAAAATTTTATAAGATGGTGGTGAGACCTGCAATGCTCTATGGCGCTGAATGTTGGCCTTTAAAAGAGAAGCATAATAATAAGTTAAGTGTTGCCGAGATGAGAATGATTAGGTGGATGAGTGGCTTTACACTTAGAGACAAAATGCGAAATGAATATATTCGTGATAGGGTTGGTGTAGCTCCTGTGATGTACAAAATTAGAGAAAGTCGTCTTAGATGGTTTGGTCACATTAAACGTCGACCATCTGATGATCCAATTAGGAGAGTAGATGTTTTAGATTCGACTTGTGTTAAGAAAGACAGAGGTAGACCTAGGAAGACTTGGGCTTATTGTATTAAAAATGATCTTAATTTACTAGAACTATATGATAATATGACACTAAATAGGACGCAGTGGAGAAAAAAGATTCATGTAGCCGACACCACATAGTGGGATTAAGGCTTTGTTGTTGTTGTTGTTGTTGTTGTTGTTTGTTGTTGTTGATGTAATTGTATGAACAGTTTTGTTGTAAACAACATTACAATACTGAGGCAGAATAATCATTGGTCCAGAAATAGCTGCAACACAATTATTTTCAAACTACAAAAAATAAATGAGAACTAGCTTATCCACAGCAACTTCTGTGCGGCAACTTCCTGCCACAGCTTCCTCAAACAGACCCTAAAGGGTCATCTAAATTTTTTCCCATGGCACATTTATAAGGTTTAGTTGTAAATTCACGTAGGGGTGTAAACAAGCTGCATTAAGTCAGGTTGATATCGAAGTTAACCCAAACCACAATAAAAACGAGAATATTATTGTTAAAATTTAAATGAGTTACAACGATGACTCTTCAAAACAAAAAATAAACAATAACAAACATAACACACCCTTGGGCGACGATAAAGGGGTGTCGATGGCGCTACATTTTTCTAGGAAGATAGGAATTATGGTGGGTTGTGTGATGGTAGGACAACAAATAGGGCCTTGATGTGATAAGTCGAGTAGATGGAGAAAGACAAGCGGGCCACTGGGTAGCCACTGAGAAAGCGTAGGGCTGATGGTATGTGGATGGTTGTAGAGAAGGTGAGGGCTGACGACAGGTGTTACGGCGGTGGGAGAAAGTTGGTAGGAGTTACGGTACAATAAGGGAGAAAGGTTGAGAGGAGTTACAGAATGGAGGGGTTACTGGTGAGAGGTGTAGAGGAGAGTCATGGTTGCACGAATCTGGAACAAAGAAGTAGAGGAAGAAACAAACAAGAGTGAAGGGAGGGATGCAATGATGTTGGCTGCAAAGAGGTGGGTGGAAGAAGAGAGAGAATACGTGAAGATAGTCACAATCTCGGAGCAAGTTACAGTCGGAGCACCACATGTCCTCGATATAAACCTAAAAGGGAAAAGAGGGGACGACGGTGACTGTCCAAACAGAACTCTCAGCAAAAACTAATCCTAAACAGAGAATAACACATATATATAATAAATAAGAAGGGGGAGGGGGAAAGAGGCTACAACACTTCAACCCTAATTAGGGCCAACTGATTTAGTCTCCTGGCTGAACCCTGGACCAATTCAGCCTTAACAGCCCCACGTCACAGGCTCAAGTCATCCTCAACTTGAACTTGAACTTGATTAATTAATTAAATTTGAGCTTGAGCTTAATTCTATGAGTTTGAGTGTGCTTATAAGTTGGCTCATTTATTATGAAAGAAAGAAAATGATTTTGATATAAATACTTTTTGTAATAAATTAATAAAAAAATGTAAATTTGGAGAAAAAATGATAAGAAGCCACTTGATATAGTTAATTAACATACAATTTTTAAAAATTTTAACAACTATACAGTTAAACTCTATAATAAAAAAATATTTTTAAGCATATTCATAGTATAATTTTTTAAAAGAGGTGGCCGACAAACTAACGAGTTTAGTTGTAGCTAGTTTGGGGAACATAAGTTTGGCTTGTTAGTTCAAAACTAAACTCATAAACTATTTATCAAGTCGAAAAGCCACAACTCATGAGCTAACGAGTTTAGTCAAGATTGATTTGAGGTGCTAGTATTATCTCAAGACCTAATTTCACACGAGCAGAAAGCTAAATTGATGCATAGAATTTTTTAAGAAAAGATTAATATCAACATATTAACGTCTCAATATTCAATTTGAAGTTTGAATGGATAAAATATAGACATATGGTTTCTAAATTTTACTATTGTCATAAAATTTCATTTTAGCATTCAAATGGACTAAAATACCCCTTGACAAGACGAGCAAGACTGCTAAATTCTAGGTTGTTTGATTCTAATCTCATAATTATGAAATTACTTCACCTACCCCAGACCAATTCTTTTTTCAGTATTTCCATTAATGCCTGCATGGATACGTTGAAAGAAAAGATATTCTTGGTTTACTGGATTTCAATAAAATTTGAAACAACAAAACTCAACATTTGAGCCAACTTTTCCAAGGGAAACATTTTGTTACAAACAGATGAGAACAAACTGACAAAAGAGATAAAAAGTGGTATGACTCATATTATATCACATATTAAGCTGCGAGCTAATTTATTATAAAATTTCTGTAAGGATATTTTTTATCAAATAACAGGGTATTCCCCTGCATACACCTGAAAAAATTTTACATCAACCTTAATGGATAATATATCCGATCTTGACTATAATCAAAATTCAAAATAAATTGAAGCACATGGAATGAGAGTTTAGTACCATATGCATTGCCGATCTCATTTATACTTCCAAAAGTGGCAACAAATCCAATGCAGAAAACCAACAGAAACCAGTTTATGACTGGGATATATATATGGCCCATGAACTTTTTCGAAGTGTGTATTATTTTGAGGCGAGGAAAACAGCCCAGAGCTGTTGCCTTCTTTATACATGAAAAAGTAGCCGTTGTCATAGCCCTGCTTGCAATTAATGCAGCTATCATAGCCACAAACACTACTGGCCAGAAAACTCCACCTGCACACAAAATTACAAACTTTGTACCCGTCTACATAAAAGAAACAGCCATTGAGGCCAAGACACAAAGGTTTGGCAGCAGTATCATTATTTTTAGTACACAAATACAAAAAACTATACCCCACTTTCACCAAAAAGGGACATGAAACAATTTTTATTAGGGCCATTTACATATATAGCACACCATTCTTATGTATTTACCTATCTCACACCTAAACTTTCATATTTACACACATAGCACTCAAATCTTTAATATCACACAAATAGCACTATTACCACTTATTTAAAATGAAATACACCATTTCATGCATAGGTTTAAAATACCAAAGTGCTATGTGAGTAAATATGAAAGCTTGATGCGAGAGATGTAAAAACATAAGCATTGTGTGGGTATGTAAATTTTCCTTATAAAAGTCCTCGTGGCATAACCATGAGTAGAAAAGAAAATAAAAATAACAAAAGAAAAAATACTAATTCATTTCTTAAGTAAAATAAGTGTAGAAGTGAAGCTAAATGAAGCGAAGGGCTCACGTTGCAGGTGGCATCATGAAAAATGTGAAAATTGTTGGAAAGGTGGTCCAAGACTATAGGAACAGAAATGCTTTATTCAGAAGTGGAAGACAAAATTAACAGTAGTGGTGGTTTTGGTGATGTTGAGAACATGTTTCGAGTTTTGGCTCATGTTAAATGAAATGAAAGGCTGTAGCAGATTAAAGTAAGTAATTTAAAGTTGAGTAAAAAAAATTTGAATTCGATGTTAAAAGTTAATGCCATATTACATGTGGTAAGTACAAAGTAGATAAATTATTTGAAAGTTAAAATATAAATATCAAGATTCAAGTTTAAATTTAATTCAATATACCACCTGGTATTTGCAGAATATGGCAAGTGTCAAACTCCTATAGATATGAACAACAATTTAGAAATTAAAGACTACCTAATCATAAGTGCATGATTATGTAAAAGAGAAGATGATGAGAAAACACAACAGCTATTTGGCTTACTCGGCATTGATGAAAAGAAAACCTGCTCATTCTGAGTAGGATTTTCCATGAGAAATGCAGCTTGGCCAAGGTAACCAAGCAACAGGCAGGGCAGAACCAGAAAAATGAAGGTCAACTGCACACATAAATTAATATAATAAAAAAACACTCACAAGTAAAGGACAGCCGCATAAATTTCTCCAAAACTATACCTGAACTGATCTAACTGAGAAATAACAGAGGTCTGCAAACATGGCTTCAGAACCTGAGAAAGAAGTGAGTAGAATTTAATAATATTCCGAAATGGTTAAGCTGCATTCAGAATTGCATTAGCATAAAAATGTCAGCTAAAATAAACTAGAGAAAATACTTTTACACGAAGTTTAAAAGGAAAAGGTCTATCACTGCTGAATATTACTAGCACATACTATATCTACTGATGATTAATAATAACAATATTTTTTATGGTTTTAAAAATAAGAGCACACCAATCGGCCTAACCAGTTCAACTGTAAATCAGCCCTCCAGCTAGTTTGGTTCAGTTTTAAAATCACCTTGGCACAAAAAAAACAAACCACTCAAAACCAGTGATTAAACTGGGGAACCGGTTTGGTTCTATTATTGATCAATTTTTTGGCTTTTGATTTTGATCAGATGGATAGAAAAATAAAAATTGACTAAAATTTGAGGGAGAAAAATTCACATGTTAGAAAATTTTGATTTAAAATCATATTCAAAATAATTAAGAGTGAATTGTCATAATTTTAAATGTTATATATTAAAGTAATGATAATATCATTATTATCTAATTTAAATCGTAATACAATAATTTTAATATTTAATATAACATCCAGTTCAAACCCAATTGAACATTTGAACCTATTCTTCCAATTTAATCTCCCGTCACGATTTTTAAAACCTCAATAATTTCAATGACTTGGATATGTGACCTACAAGATCAATTGTGCCAAAACTAATTATGGCATATGAGTTCTAACCCATATAAAAAGGCCCAATTTGAAGTAAAAACTTGCCAAGTTGGGCAGTCACATAACAAGCTACTATTTGAATTTTTTAGCCAGTGAACGCTTCTTAGTTAATCTAGTAAAATTCAGTTTAAGAAATCAAAATAATTTCGAATGATCTGACACGTTTATCAAGACCTTTTGTTTTTTCCAAAAAATTCAAATATTCAAATCTCAGTTTTCTCATAATAAGCGATTTTCTCTAAAAAGGTTAAACTTTTAAATATAAATTTTAATGTTTTAATTTTCATTTATTTGGCAAGTATTAGAATCTAATATTTTTATGTTAGAGTTCACAGATAATAAAACTAAATCAAGTTGGCCGTTAAACTTGATCTCCAATAGGGATGTCATGTTGAGACATGGAAATAATTTTCTCACTCACTTCGATTGTAAAATAAAAACCGATTACGATTATTTTTTACATGCTTTTTCCATGCAGTCCTAAAACCTCCAAGTTTCTTTAAAATTATCTACTATTACACCTAAAAGTCTACCCAACCTCTTTTCCAATAAATTACCTACCAAAAAAAAAAAAAAAATCAATTACCTACCATATATAAGCATTTATCAAAAGAGATAGCCCTTCATTTAGCCAAGTTTAAAAATAGATGGCTAAGAGATGGTCAGTGGAGTGTCTGGAGATTGGCAATCATCTTGGGCAACGTCAGATAGAACAATTTTTCTATTCGGTATTCGACAACAAGCACTTAGGGGCTGAAGGTGACATTTGGAAGCATAAAACTTTTGTAGTAGGAAATTAATGGCTATCATAGGGATTGGTGATCAGCGAAGAGATCCAAAATAGGAGAAGACAAGCTTTCACCTATCTTCAACGAGTATAATTGATATAAAAATCGTGCACCAGTTTGCAGAGGGGATAAAAGTGAGGGGAGAGGAAGAATACTAGTCAGACATAATATTTAAAATTCAAATATTTGTCAAGTGAAATGAACATCACTCTATATGACCATGGATATAAACGAATTCGTCAAACCATATAAATTCTATTGTTTTCTTTTTCTGGTGTTTCTCCTTGCAGTTATTTTTTTCTAATTCTTGTAAAAAATATTTCCAATCTCAAAATGGTTCAAGTTGCTTCCACTGTGCAACATATATTAATGAGTTCAATCTGATCATAAAACAGTTATGCTCAATTGAGATGATGTTTACACTTTAGGTTGTTGTCATCACAAACAAAAGGCTAGGTTGAAACTATGACAATGGTTACTCGTTAAACGGGTTATAAAATTGAATCTCAATGATACTTGTAACTTGATCGTAAGTGAGGATATCACAAGATAAGAATCAGGTGAAAGTTGTTCTACTGCTCTGAGTCATGAGTAGAGAAAATTGTGTTAAGAAAATACAACAATGAAAGAAGAAACAAATCCGAACAAATGAACCAATCAAAAATATGCAGCGATGCATGTTGGCAATGAAGTAAAACAAACCACATGAAAAGGGCCTATCCATAGAGAAAGAGTGAACAAACTTCAAATCAAATGGTGGAATCAAGAAATGTTGTAATGAGATTTCTAATGCAATTGCAAATAGTCCTACAGAGTTTTGGTTCTTAAACTAGAATGCATCTTTTCATTGAACGCTAAATAAAAAGTTAAAGACTAAATATTTCATAGGAATTAATAGAAAGATCAACTAGTTGATGGTAACAATTGAGCTTTATGGGAGTCGGTCATGTGCAAACTGTGATCATTATGGGTAAATGAGGAAGCTTTAAAATGTAAGGAAAATTCTTAGCTCTAAGATTAGCCTAAGCTTTATTGGGCGCTATGTGAAGGTCATGTGTCTTTTGTTTCTATAATGACTTGTAGAAGATGACCAAGAGTGCAATGATGATAAAGTGCTGAGGTAAAAAGGTGTCTTATGCATCTTGACAAATGCCAAAATAATGGGAACATTTATTACATCTATTGTCGGTGATAGTGGAGGTGCAATGTGGAACATACTTTATATCAAGTGCGCATTTTCACAGATGTTAGACTATACATTGGGATCAAGAAACAGCAAGGTGACAAAGAAAGGATGCCAGTAAAGAATGATATGTTTATCACTAATGAATTAAGCTACTTCAAAATTTCAGTTAACTTTTATGAATGACTGAGGGGGTATTACACAAAGATTTATCTACCAAGACGCTTCATTAAAATTTAATCTTCAAAAGGAAGATTTTTGAAATGTAAGAATAATTTCCTCACCATCTACAAATCCAATTTCTAAACCTATTGCCTATATTTGTAGTATATGTTTTCCAAGCATTAATAAAACCTCAACCTAACGTTTTTACAAGTATTTACCAAATATACATAAAACTCCACCTAACTTGTAAACATATCAATCGCCTCTAGTCACTATATAAGGACATAGTAGCATGATGTTGAATCTCTCGTTCGTCTGGAGATATTGGAGGTTGGCAATTGCATTGATCAATGATATATAAAGGGATTTCTTTGTTGGCTGCTCATCAAAGAACAGCTAAAGGTTTGAGGTGAAGGTTATGTCGTAAGCAATCACACATGGAAACTGATGGCCACCACAGGAGCTAATGATATGCGAGGTGTTCTGATATAGGAGGAGCTAAATTTTCCTATAACTTGGTGAGCAAAAGATTACAAGAATTTTGGTTAAGTTTGAAGAGGAAAAGAGAGAGACCAAAAAAAAAAAATCTAATGAGATAAAAGTACGAAAATTTTTTTACTGTGTATTTATCTCTAATATAATGGAACTGAGATCTTTTAATGTGATTGCGGTCTGTGGATGTAAATAATCTTAGGTGAATCTCATAAATTCTCTTATTTTTTAATGTTTATCCTTGCAAATTATCTTTTCAAGTTCTCATGTTTATTATCACTCTTTAGTCTGCTCTTTTTCCCAACTGTTTGAATCCAAAAAATCATCTTTTTAAAGGGATCCAATAAAACTGGAATTATCAGTAACAGTTGTCAGAAAAATAATGTTTGAAATGTAAAATATGGTACACGAATAGTAATTAAAATAATAACAATAATCATCATTATCATTAGCCATATCTTAATAAGTTTTCATTACAATATAAAGCACTGTTTACTATTCTTTACACGAAGCATTACATAAGAAGTTAAATATATTTCGTGTAAATCTTTTTGCGTATCTCCAATCCAAGTTACATTTAGTCAGCATTTTCTTTTGAATCTTTCCATTTTAATTTTATAGACTCATATTACTGCTGTACCTTCAACCTTTAGCATGCAAGCCCAAATCATCTCAATCTAATTTTCATTACCTTCTATTAAAAAAAAAGATACACAACATAAATAATAATTTCTTAATATCTGCTCAAAATCCTAACTCTAAAATTTTATTCATGTGAGCCCTTTGTCTAGCCTTAACCTTTAATTGTACTTGCAATTTTGGGCTAAATTATTTTATTTGTACTACATTACAATCTAAGATTCAGGGAGGTTCAAGCTTAGGTCTTCAAGAGGTTGGATTGGGATTAGAGTTGTTTGGGATAAGGATAATGTTAAAATAATTAAGTTTCTTTACATGAATCCTAAGCTTTATGCCTTATTAACCAACTTTTGATCAATTCAAAATTCTTAGATATGGAGAGGTGGAGTAAAGGATGAAGTGGTAAGAGGTGGCTGGTTGTGAAGATATTATTAGTGGTAGTGCAAATATCAACATAAAAAATAAAGATTGCTAGAATGAGCAGAAGGGTCAAATGATTTCAGAATGCCTTACAATAAGGAGGGATTGCAAGGGCGATTGATGTTTTTAAGATCTCATCAAAATTTCAATTAATTCCTAATTGATATGTTAAACGAACCAAATTATAAGGTCAAATGCAAGGTTTAAAAAATTGCTTTATTAAGGCAAGACGTAAGTCTCTAAGTGGATCAAAACAAAAACCACAAATAAAAATAATAATAATAATAATAATAACTAATAGATTTTAAAAGGAAAATCATATATATGTTACAAAACATTATTTTGCACTTTTTCACAAGCGCAAACATTCTAAGTGAATTTTCAGTCTTCTAGCACCGTCAGTGATTAACTTGTAACGAAATTTCTATTTTAAGAAAGCATAGCCTTTTTTTTTACACCTTCTCTTAGTACTTCAACTTGAGAGCCATATTTTCAAGCTAAATTTGTTCTTCCAGACAATTTTATAAACTAAAAAATACTAATATGAAAATTGATAAAATAAAAAGAATAAAAATAAAATTAAAGACATTTAAAAAGAATGCGTAGATTTAAAAAACCAAAAAAATCATATTAATAACATAAAAAAGTTAAAATCTAGTAATAAATTTAAAAATATTTTTAAACAATAGTTAAAAATAAAATAAATTGATTAAATATTTACAAGAAAACTTAAAAGTGAAATTAAAGAAGTAAATAAAATCTATAAAATAAAATTAAAAAAAAAGAAAATAAACACGATAAAAGAGACAATTTTATTCAATAATAATATTTGTGGATGATGCTTGTTAAACTTTACAACTAAGTTTATAATAAAAGCAAATTACTACCCATAACTTGAAACATGAAATAAACTCGAGATTTAACCATAAAAGAACCATAACTTAAAACATTAAATATACTAAACAGTTAACAATAAAAGAAAATTTTGATAATTAAATTGAAGCTCGCACTATCATACTTTACCGCAAAACTTCTCCAATTATCTAGCATCCAAGAAGTCATTAGGATCCCATCAAATTTATAGAACAACCCGCTTTGAACATTTTGAAGCCCCACTAAGCCCAACTGGTTTTTCATATGAAGTTAAAGCTTAACTTGTGCATTTACTTCAGAGTTAAGTTAATGTCAAATTTTTTTTAATCAAACTATAATATAATCAATGCTCGCGTTCATTATTCCCTTCTAAAGAATTTTGTTAAGCCTATCATTAAATAAATTCTCAAAATAGCAATAACAACAAGAAGCATACTAATAATAAGAATTTATTATTATGTCTCTAAACTTAGGCCCTGTTTGTGATCACTTTTTGTTCATTATTTTTGTTTTTGTTTTCAATCTATTTTGTTTACTATTTTCGGTCTTTAGAAAACGTGTTTGGTACTATTGTGATTATATGCTTTTAAAATAAAAAAATATAAAATATGTTTAGTCGGATATTTTCTATTTAAAAAAAACTATACTTTTTAAAAAATTAATTAAATTATAATAACTACTAACATGTTAATTAATTGAAATTATTTAATTAATAACCAGTAACGTATTAATTAATTTCATTATTTAACTACCAACATATTTAACATGTTAATTAATTTTTTGGTAAATTATTGAAATTATTAATTAATTAATTATTTTATTAAGTTAAGGTTTTGTTAAATTGAAGTTTTAATTGATTTGAATTTTTTATAACTTTATTAAAATTTTATGGATTAATCAAATTTTCAATTAATTTAATTAAATACTTATTTAATTCTTAAATTAGTATTTTAATTAAGTTAGTATTTTAATTAAGTTGTAAGTTGTTTAATGTTTTATTTAATTATTTATACATTTAATGAAATGTTTAAATAATTTAAATTTTAATTTTATTATTATTAACTTAATTAAATGATTAATGTTCTACTTGAATAATTATGAGTTTAACTGATTAATTATTAAGTTAATTAAGTATATTTATTATTAAATTGAGTACTTATGAGTTAATTAAATTCATTTAGGTTACATTTAAATAATTAGTGATTTAAATAGATGATTATTACTTTAATTAAGTAATTTTTATAATTCTATTAATTTATTAATGAGTTAATTAAGCTGGTTTAGAAGTTAATTATTGGATTAATAGCTTAATTTGGTTATGTTAATTTAGACCAAAGATGATTAAGCGAATTTAAGGTTTTAGGGTTTAGCTCCAAAGAACATATTTTTTAAACAACGAAAACACAATTTCTTTATTTTTTATGTTTTGAAAACTCGTCTCATGTGTCCTTAAAACAAAAAAATAAAAACGAATAAACAAAGACTATTTTTTGGTTTGTTTTCCGTTTGAAACAGAAAATAGAAAATGATTCCAAATAGGATCTTAGTAATTGCCAACAAATATGCATTTCTGGTTTTGCAGTATACAATCCATAATCAAGAGATTCAAAAAAGAATGTCTTCGGGAACCAATTAGTGCCAATGGATGTCATATAATTTTGATTTTGCATGTGAAATCGATAATAAAAAGCTGTAATTTTGTCACAAAATTATAGCAACTGATTCTTCCAACATAAACAGCCCAGCCCAACAAATGGATCCAGCCCTAGTACAAAGTTAACTAATGTGAAAAGCATTTTTTTAAGAATGATTCTAATCAATCTATCAGCATTCTAAATCCTAAAGAGAAAATGAGTACGAATCTTAAAAAATTATATGTTTTAAAATTTAACTATAAACCTATACGAATAAAAAGAGGAGTAAGGGTCCTTAGACTATTAATTAACTAAATGTTAAAAAAGTAAATATGAATTTGGACAAGGCAGTTCATGAAAAGCTTGTCAATCCACCGAATCATCTGTAGCTTCTATTTTGCTGTCGATGCAAGCAAAATAAGGAAAAATAGAGCACAAGTGAAGACAGCAATCTGCTAAAATTCTATGATCTTTCCGATTAAAATACAATATAACACCAAGCATCCTGGTAGAAAAAATGATTGATATCCCTCAGGTAAATATCTAACAAAAGAAATGGGGCAATGTACACAACCTGCATAATGGTCAATTACATAATAATTTATGATGATCCAAAATAGTTGAGAAAAGTTTAATTGATCTTAAATAAACCTAAATAAGTCAAACCAAAAGCAGGTATCCAGAGCAAAATTTCTTGTAAAAAACAAATTAAGCATACTTCCGATAAAATTCAGTAATTTGAGTTCAAACTTTCATACCTGTTGCGCTAAGTAGGCAACCTCCAAGTGACATCCAAGCTTGAGCAGGATTTTTCTTAAAATAAAGGTAGATATAAACCGGATTAAAGGCTTTAAAAGCTATAACCCCATATTTAACAATATTGTAAACCCCAATGCCTCCAAGACAACAAAACCATAAGAACAGGGCAGGGCCAACAGCAAGCCCCATTTTACTTGTTCCAAACCTCTGTACACTGAATAATACTATTAGACATGCAACTGTAATCATTACCACTGCACCTGATAAAAAAATAATAATAATAATAAATAAATCAATGAAATGAAGTTCAATAAATCCATGGTTCCGCAAGTGGAAAACACATTTAAAATGATAGAAATTAGTGATTTACCAAAATGTAACCCAAAAACTTCCCTCATTGAAAATTGCGGAATTTGATAAAAAAAAGTTGGACGCTGTTTTCTTTTTTCACAAGAATTGAAGTGACCGAATAACAGGAACATATCAAAAAACAACATTCCTCAAATTTTCAAAATTCGAAATGTCATACAGTAAGAATGTTCTATTACGTGTGAAGATAACACTCACTGAATTATACTGCGCTAATATACTACTGCAATCTGGAGACCAGCGAACACATTATAAAAAAGCATGTGAAAAAGCTTTTATTGGTTAAGCATCTTTACTTTGATGAAGAATATGAAAAGCTCGCATGATTGATCAGAACTTAGTTTCTATATTTCATCATATTTTATAATTTATCACAGCTAAAGCACAAACGTCCAAATGTTATTTACATTTTATAAATACAGTTCGCTCAAGGTCCCACTTAGTGGGACAAAGGCTTGTATTGTTGTTGTATTTGGTTCAAGTTCCAGAAGTAATTTTACTTTAAATATGAATATCTTCTAAATCTGTGTTATCCATAAATTGGGTAAACACAAATACATGAAGGCAAAAAGTTTTTTTTCTAGGAATAATTGATGAGCTCCAATACCCTTCTAGAGCTCTGCTTAGTGAAGAGAATAAGTTTGTGAAAAGAATATTTCTAGTTTTTGATGTTGAAAAACATCAACAGGGTCCTCATACACAACTGAAACATGGATGTGGGGAGGATTTTATAGTCTGTTCTAGAAACCTAAATTAGTGCAATTATAGGAGATTCTAATAAAATATCTCAGAAAATAAAATCCATTGCTGCTAAATCAAAGGAACTAGAAAAAAAAATGTATTACTATGTTATTCCATAATAAATTGAAAGGACTGGCATTCAAAAGATCAATGACTTGGAAAGAATAGTAATCAAATAAGTCTGATATAAAAATCCAAGGGAGACCAAAAAAATTCTCAAGATGAGAATGAATCACAACAAGGCCATACATATCTTAAATCTTTCATAATCATAATATAATGAGAAGTTATTGGATAGATTCAATATCAAAAAAGACCAGAACTGTAACAAAACTCACTGCCCATTTTTTATTATCTAAGGAATAAATATCAAAATTTGAAAAGGAAAAGAAAAACATGGTCAAAATATCTTAAGTTGTAGTCACTGGATCACTCATCATCCAATGCTATATAAAAAACCAAATGTGGTTGTGCACACACAAGGGGATTTAACATATATATCTAATCGAAGAAAAGAAGATTGCAGGGCTACATTGCTTCATATTTACATTGAAACCTAGACAAAAAGAAGTACTACTGAGCAGATGTATAATTTGGGTGATATCACAATCAGCTGGGGGTCACTATGATAGTTGTGCTACAACTATTAAGGCTAAATATGTAGCCATCACAAAAAATAGTAAAAATACAGTCTTGATCAAAACCTTTCTAGAAGAATTTGATGTGTCGCAAGAAGATGTCATGCTCTTCTACAACAAAAAAAATGTTCATTTAATAAAGAATTTTGTCTTTCAATCTCAAACAAAGAATATATAACTTAAGAATCACATTAAACACAGTTTGCTTAATGGAAATGAATGTCCTAACAGCTCATTGATATCAATTGGGTAGAGAACCTCACTGGTATGCCTGCAAAAGCCAAAAGAAACTCAAGTAAAAATGCTGAGGCCATTTAAAGTAAATCTCCATGAATGATGATTTAGAGGTGTAACATACTTGGAAACTGACCACTAAGAAGGTACACCAAAAAATTGTCTCTAATTGCAAGAAAGTTAAAACTATGGAGCAAATTTCTTTCTTCCATCAAAATTGTATAAAATATGATCGAGATCTCCTATGCTTTTCTAGTATTAATTGAGGTTTATAAATATATGATCATTTTTTGTGTGTTCTAACATCTTTGAATTTTTAACAAAAAATCATAACTCCAAAATAAAATTAGTATACAAGCAATAATTACAGTGAACTACGGCATTAAATGTAAAGGTTAAAAGAGAATAATGTGCAGTGTATGACAATATAAAATATCCATTTGATGGATAATGACATCCAAGGTAAGCCCTCATTTGTGCCTAAACGTTTGTGGTCCGATGAATATTGATGAGTGATGATAAATTTTTCTTGCTTCAGAATCCCTTGAAAATAGGAATTGAATCCTCTTTTCCATTCAAGCAACAATACTTGGAAGACTAATCTATGAATTAAAAGGCCACTCAGATTCAATCGCATCAATATACTCAACAGTAGTAATAAGACCAAAGGCTAACTTCGCTTGAGAATTTTACTAGAGCTTGCAAAATCTTGTAGGATTTCATATTTCCAATCAACAACTTGTTAATATTATAAATAGAGCCTTAGAATGAAAGTTTCCGCATCTCTTAACTCTTGAGGAAAGTGGAGCCTGGTCCACTATTTTCGATTTGGCAAGAATCTGTTATGATAAAATATTTAATTGTTAACTAAATATTTACTTCCTTAAAGATTTTCCTCCAAGTCAATTGCCTGAAAAGCTTCATGCAGAATCTCGTGAGATCTTGGAAATCTTCCTCTTATTTATTTAATTAGCTTCGTCTGCTTCTTATAAAAGGCTAAACCAACCTGCTCTCCCTACACATCCCACAAACTCCTCTTCAGCTGAAGCTTAAAGGAAAAGGAAAAAGAAAAGCTTTTGCTTTCGGTTTCTTTTTTTTGGCTTAAAAGAAAAAAATTATTTCTTGTGTTCCTTTCTCGCGGCTTTGAGAGAGAGGAAGGAGAGGTGAGGATGAGGAGTGAAAGGAAGAGAGAAATGGTTCTTTCTTGTAAACGTCGAGACGTTCGACGGTGTAATTCCTCGAAGTAATAAAATCCTCTGCAGCTCCGTGGACGTAGGCAATTTGCCGAACCACGTAAATCTTGTGTCGCCTTTTTTTAGTGTAATTTTTTTATTTGTTTTTCGCTTTATTGCCGTCGTTTTTTCATAACATTAACAAGAAGCAAACAGATGTAATATATAATGTGGGAGAGGGTTTACATTTGAGAAAGAAAGGAAGAGAAAATTTTTTTGGGTGCTTTCAGTGGATCTTCGTTTTCTTCACGATGAAAAAAGTGCTGCTATTTTTTGTTCTAGCAACATTCTAAGTCAAAAGTACACATTTAAATGTTCTCCACCGAGTTGCAAACAAAAAAAGTATAAACTGAGAGAATTTGTAACTAAAAAGAATGTGCAACAAAATGTGAAGGTAAAACGCTACAGGGCAACAAAAAAATGAAGACTTAAAATAGAGTAGTGGCATCTTGCATGTGATGATTGCAAAGAAGGTCATGAATGTACTTCTGCTAAGATAGGAGTTTATCATGCTTTATGGGTGAGACGTAGAAAAAAATAAAGATCCCTGGGGGAGCTTGATAGATAACCAATTAGTAAAAATCCTAATAATAAATATAGGTGTTTTTGTATAACTTCCAATAAGAATAAAAATATCAACATAGACAGATGAAGAGCATGGCGTCTTGTTGCCAAGAATTAAATAGCAAAAAATCCCACTTGGATCCAATAAAGCTAGATTGAAGAAAAGTGCAATACATCATGGAAAGAACTTACAAGTTTTACAATAGGGATGAAAATTGAATTGAAATCAACACCAAAGTCTTGTAAAAAATCTCTAGCGTGAGCTATATGTTTGTCCACATTGTTGTGAACTACTGAAGTCGATGAACTGAGTGCTATTAAGGTTGTCTGATCCTCATTTCTATAAAAATCAAAGTCAACTATAAAGGTAGAGGTCAACAATACTAATAATAACAAGCATTTATCCCACTAATTGGGGTCTGCTACATGAATCATTTTCCTTCATTGTGTCCTATTGAGTGTCATATTTTCATTAAATCAATGAAAATGCAAATATAAACAATTCAATCAAATATTTTATCTCATAATAATAGTTGTGTTGATATTAAGGGTCCGTTTGGCAGAGAGTCGAGAGCGCGGTGTGGGGCGCAGTCGCTGAGTTCGGCCGTTTGGGAGCGCGGCGGTGCTGCTGTGTCCCTCATTTTTTGTTAAACTCCAGCCGCGGATAGAGGCTCGTGGCCGGCGTTCGACAGTTGGCCTTTTACGAATCAAGCCCCCAGTTCGGCCTTCAACCCCGCTATTCTGCTACCCAGCATACCCCAGCCTCCCATGGCCGCCTCCCTTCCCAGGTACCCTAAGCACCACCTTGTTCCAAAAGCCTTCACAGGGGGCATTCCCCTTGTCGATGCCCAATGCGCGCTTCTTCCGACCCCCATGTCTCCACCCAGAGTAGGATACCTTCGTCTCCTCCACTTTTATTTTGATTTTAAAAAATATTTATGAATTTATGATTACTTTGGGAGGAGATAGAGGACCATTCCTTTTATTTGAACTGCTATGTTGTGAAAGCAGTGGATGGGGTTAGGGTTTTTGACGAGGCGAAGGATGAGAGGCCCATCACTGTGATAGATAATTACGACAACTTTACTTATAATCCTTGTGTAAGCAAACCCTGATTATTAGGTTGTTTACGAATCTTAGCCATGCAGGAATAAGGGGTTAGGTGTCTTTGTTGTTGATTGGAATTTAACAGTAATATGTTTCCTAAATTTGCTTATTTGTTTGAAGATATGGACCCCATGCTCCTTGCTTTTCCTGCACACAAGAAGGAAAAATTGTTAAAAATTTATTTGAATTGTTACTCATATTTTGGTGGATTTCAGGCGATGGATTTAAGAGCTTATTTTAATAGCAGTAGTTTTTTAACATAAGTCAGCTTAAACCCTTTCAAAGTGATAGATTGGTGTGCTTCATAGATTTAAATATTGCTTGATCCTATTGAGAAAATGAGTCTACGCACAAACTTAAAAGACTAGAGGGCCCATGTTTTGCAGATATTTCTTCTATCTGCAGTTTAGAGAAAGGTTCTACAATGTATTATCAAAATATTTGGTCCATAGAACCTATAGTATGTAGAATTTTAATAGATACATGAAATTAATATAGAATGTTATGCAACTTTTGAATGACTTACATGGTCAACCGTTTTGGAAGTGCAATTGCCTCGTACCTATAAAACAGGATTAAAATTACCAGACTTGATTTTTGTTTTATAAATGTAAATTTTCTTAAACATTAAACAGTGTGATTTTAATCAACATCCCTTATGAAATCCATCTTTCTTTGCTACAATGATGTTCCTAAAAAGTAGAGGCACTCTCAAACCAATACTCCGCGAAAGTTTAGCTCAAACTTGGGAAGTTTTATACATTCCTTGATTTTGATTTTTAGTGGAACAACAAGTTCATTTCTTTTTCCCGGCGAAGATGTCAATTGGTTTTAGTTTCAGATATTTTATTATGGAACCATGCTTTGTGATAAGATAAGTGATAGAAATGTTAATAGTAGAGAAAAGGTTGCATACTTTCTTTATTGCTCTTGATGAGTCATTTTATTGATTTTCATGTCAATTCATTTGCTGGGAATTAAAGAACAAAGGCATGTTATAATCATTAAATTAAAGAAATGTATAATTGGTTACATTTGAGTGCTTTAGTATCAAGCTTATCTCAATGTTGTTTGTTGATGTGAATAAAAGCTCCGATCAGGATAAATGGATTAATGGATGATATCTTTCTTATTTATCTCACAATTCTTGTATTTCTTGAGCGTTGAAGATGATTTTATTTTTTTTAGAAAAGGTGATATCAATAGATATGTGCTGAGTATAATGAAATGTTGGCTTGTTTTTGAGCTATTCTTGTTTAGTTTTAGACACTTTTGGTACTCACTGTTAAGTGAGTTGTGTATCTAAACTTTTATTCTATTTTGAAATGAATTTTTGCTTCTGAAGTATCAAATATGTGGTTGTCACAGTTCTATTTTAAACATATTTACTAAACATACACAGCATGGTCATTTTTTCAAAACAACTGCCCCAAAGTTGTTTTCACACAGCTGCACCAAACAGACAGTCAGTTTCCCCGCAACAGCTTCCTGGGGACGCGCAGCTACAACTGCGTCAAACAGAGCCTAAATCTCAACTTGAAAGATTTATATTTTAAAAATTAAGCTTTAAATAATATTTGAATAAATTAAATCAATATAATTTACGGAACCTGATCTTATATAAGCAACAAATAGTCGTGACATTCAAAAATATATATTTTCCCAATGATGACCTTGTTAAAATTGAATTTCAACCGAAATGGTCTACCTTTAAAATGAAATTTCACGGTTAGAATGTAAATTTTTAAAATAAAAATTATAAAAAGGGCAATCCAAAGATCCAAGCATAAACCAATTCTCTATAAGTAAGGCAGAGTCGACAATGTTCAAAAATATTAATTCTTCTCATTATGACCATGTCAAAGATGAAGTTTAACCAAAGAAGCCTACTTTTAAAATGAAATTTCATATTTAAAATGTAAACTTTCAAATTGATAACTATGAAAAGAGCAATCCAAAGAGTCAATCATGAATCCAATCCTCTATAAGCAAGGCACAGTCGACAAGATTCAAAGTTATTTAAGTCACAAAAAAATCCCAATCGAAAATATTTTTTTTCAAAATGCCCCAAATTTTAACAAAAAATTATTTCAAAATTCAAACCTTGATGAAATCTAAACAAAAAACTCAAATTATAAACTTCAAAATGCTTATGTAAATTTTCTCATCTAAAAACTTAAAAATATATCTTATTCACAATCAATATTAGTTTGTCGAAGGAGATAAATTTAAGATCAACTAGAACTTACATAAATCCAATGTCATGTTAAATAAATAATTATATTCATTCTCAAATCAATATAGACCTAGTAAAAATGTGGCCCAAGTCCTTTTTCAACAGTATTTGGTAAGTTGACCTTATAAATATAGCGCTTACAACTAGAGCTCTCTGACTAGATGATTTGACCAGACATACTCTATTATATTAAGGTTACATTATAGTCGTGTGTTCTCCAATGCCTTTTTCCCCCTTGAGACATAAATCATAGTGTATTTGATATGGCATAAAACCCCTCTGTTAACTAATGTTGACTTGAATTAGTTTGCTTAGAAAATCATCCACCATAGATCTACAAAGTCTCATTGGATGACGCAATACAAGGGTCGTAATAAGGATCTTTCAATGAGGTTGGGTTGACTATCTCCCCTAACTAAGTAAACAATGATCCATAATAACCCGACACGACGGAAAAATGACATCTTAATCAAATTTGTCATCATTCCCCCATTTATCCATTATTGGCTAACAATGATAAATTTTGTAATAAAAAAACTTAAATATTTTTATCATAGGTTGAAGCAATCAATGATAAAATGATTAGCCTAATCGAAAATATTCCGATTATTGAGAGAGAATTAATTATAGGGGCTTGCGCTTATGAAAAGTCTTGAACTATAGATCTTAAGGTGTTTGTAAAATGACAATGAAATCTTTGAGTTGTATCTTATCTACAATCTAATCTGTTTTCTAAAATTTGATAAGAAAAATAACAAAATATATCTCTACATTTTGAAGGGAGTTGGGCGCAAATTTTCAAAGCCTGCAATAAAAAGTGATAAAAGATTGTTCCATAAATTTATGTATGATAATTCTAGTGTTTTCGTTTTGTATAGTGCAACCCCAAATGAAAGATGGAAACTTATTGCAAATGCAAGAGTTACATGGATCACTAGATAATTTATTTTTTATGTGAAGAGAAATTAGGCAGATAAAAGGAAAGATGCTATTGCGTTATTATTGTAGCAGTGGTAATTAGCAGTGATTTTGAAGAGTAAGGTGGCCAAAAGTACAAACTTTATTTTGACATCCGAGCAATGCAAAGCTAGCATTCAAATTCTTCATAATAGAATGAGATGAAAAAAATAGAATGGATGGTTTGTTATGTTTGTAAATTTGAGAATGAAGATAGTAAGTTTTTATGAAGTTCAAGAGAACACGGCAAATCATTGAATGATATAGGATTAATGAAATTGAAGAGTGGTGGAGCCAATGTGTGTGATTCAAATATTGTCATTGCCATTGATAATAATGTCCTCAAGACCATTGTATTAAGACATTATCGAGAGATTTTGAGAATCGGATGTCATGTGAGGTGAGACTCCGAAGTCAATGACCCAAGCTATATGATAGATTTCATCATGTGATGTGCTTGAGCAATAAGAAAAGGTGTTGACTTGGAGCAACAAATCATTGTCATATGCCCAAATTTGCGGCTGAGTTAACATTGAGCTCAATTGCAATTAGTATTGAATTAAAATCACAATTTTGTTTTATTAGGAGATCTACAAGGATGATAATTACCAAGAAGTCTGCTTTTGCTAATTTTGATATTGAATTTTATTGTCCGCTCTTTTTGTTTTGGTTTTAAGTTTTTTTTTTTTTTTTTTAATTTCTTGTTGGATCCCTTTTGATTAAATTGAAAATTAAATCACATTATGTTTAAATAATTTGCATTCCTTATCCGTGAATTTAGATGAATTCATGATGGAGAGCAAGACCTGACGAGATGAGCTATCACTTGTTTATAATTTGAAGGATAAGAAAATAAAAGGCATCTTATAGAGATCAATAATTGAAGACCAAAGACAAAAGGCAACAGAAATTAAAAAACTACCATCTTATAGTTTGCACGAAGCATGTTAACAATTGATGGCAATCAAAAGAACTCATAACTTCTAGCTTGCAATATGTCATCAATTGAACATCATGAACTAATAAGGTTCAATCTAATAATAAATCAATTTTATACATAATCATTGATGAAACTATTCACAAAACAGAATTTAGCTACCCTTCTAAAAATGAATTCTTCACTTAAAAAAAAACTTCTACGAAGACAAAGCATGATTCCAAGCCTTTCAGGATATGCTAAGTAATACTTAAGTCCCCAAGAATGAACTATTTGTTAGTCTCATTGACTTACAAAAAGAATGGATGTATGGAATAACCAACTAAACTCCTAACTATCTTGCAATAGATATTTATTCTACTGCATGCAAACATGTCGAGAAATTAAACAACATTCACCATGTTCAACATTATCAGATTTAAGAAAAAGAACTACAAAGTCTAAATCATATCCTTCAACAAACAAAGCTCAGATTTTCCTAAGGAAGACACTTCAAAACTAAATTAAAAAGTAAATCACCTTGTTCAACACCGGCAATTCCAACCTTGAGCCCATTCACAGCTGACATAACTGCATCTCAAATAAAAGGAAAGTTAAGCTCATAAAAAATAAAAAAACCACAAAAACATAAACCTAAGCAGTGTGGGAACTAGACATGGGCTAGGGGTGCTCTTCCCCTCCCTATACTTAAAAGAAAAAACATAATACAACATACAATATGAAAGATTTACCCTTGAATTCTCCACCCCCAACCTCCCCTAAATAATTTCGGCTATGTTCTTTTGTTCCTCATTTTAAATCCTAATTCTGCCACTAACACTAAGAGCCCAAAAGTGTTAACCAACCTGACATCGCAGGCGTGACAACACCGCCTGCTATCACCATAGCGGTACCAAATAGAACCAAGATTAGAAGCATTTTTTTAAGTAGTGCAGAGTTTTCAAGATGTTCTTTGAGTTTTAAAGATCTCTCTAACTCTGCTGATGGAACTTTCAGTCTAAAGCTTGAAATACGAGCATCAGAAGGCAATTGGTTTGGAAGAAGACTAGCTTTTGCATTTCTGCATATCAAGGAATACAGAGCAAAAGTCCCCCCTGCATATAGCAGTATAAAAAAACCATGATTCTTGATTTAAGATTCAAGAATACTAGAACAGCAACCCTTTCGTATCCTTAATCATACCTTCTCCATCATCATTACCCCAGAGCACTATCAAAGTATACTTCACCAGTGGTATCAGGATCAAAGTGTAGAGAACAAGAGAGAGTGCTCCAAGTACATCTTCCTTCTCAGAAATAGGATATTTATTAAACATGATATCAAAAGTATACAACGGACTAGTTCCAACATCCCCAAACACAACTCCAAGAGTCTGAAGAACCAATATAAGACTCCGACGCAAATTAAAATCCTGAAATTAAGTATCATAAGTTTCAGAAAGAAGCAGTTTTTATAATGTATATTGTCTAGGTTCAAAACAATGCAAAAGCTGTAAGTTTAGTCGAAATGCTAGTTTGAATTAAATTGAAGAATGTACAAACTGTCATTTACTAGGGGCGAAAAAAAAAGGGGAAAAAAAACTAATGCATAAGCTCATCAATGAGACTAGTATCAATACATACTAGTCTCATTGATGAATACATACCAAAAACCAAGTAAAACTGAAAAAAAATAAAAATTAAACAAAAGACAGCAATATTATGATCAGCGAATTAGTTCACCTACCTCGTAATCATGCCTCTGGGCTCCAGGAACCTCAAGCGCCTCGACATCAAAGGAATCAATCCTGGGGCCAGTCCTGATCAATCTCTGCTCAACATTATCCTCTTCCGCAGACTCGTAACTGCTTTGCACTCCTCCCTCATCGGAGTCGTCCTCATCCTGAAAAACCCATCTGGATTCCGTTGAATCCATCTTAACCAAACCACCATTCGCCCTATCCGACCCCTCCGCCATTAGTCCCCTTCACAAAGTTCCCCCGAATCGGCTTCAAACCACAGTAATCTCCATCCCTTAGGGAATTTCCACGAAATCAACATATTGCAACATGATAGAATCAATAACACCAGAACAGAAAAAATGAGATCGAGCGATTTTTCGATTCGATGAGCTTCGGATTCGAACGAAAGTGATGGATACAGATGAAGTAGAAGAATTGAATGTTTTGCACTTTCTTCCACGCTCTCACAGAGAGAAGAAGGTCGGGACTCGGGAAGGGAGTGGAGAAGACGAACCCTGTAAAAGCGAGCAACTTTCGCCAAGGAATAGACTTTCAAGAAAAAACTAAAAGACGAGAGGATTTGCATATTTATCCATCGCTCTCTAACAACGCGGAGCAAATGGATTGAAAAGTAAATAATTTTTAAGTATGTAAAATGTAATTTATTTATTCATATAATATTGTAACCTAAAAATTGTAATTATAATATTATCAGCATTAATATTTTATTAGAAACTAAAATGCGCATTATTATGTGTATATGTCAAAATCTTTATGTAATTTGAACATTTAAATAATAGATAAGTATCTATAAAACTCAATATCATTAATTTTATAATTTTTTGTAAATTCTTCCAATATAATTTATTAAAATTTTCATTTAAAATCTATTACGGCCGACGTGACCAATCTTATCATTTTTATCTTCTTTTTTTGTGGCTTTGTTCTCTCCTGGGTAGCCTATCTAAGTACATTGGCTTCAGCTGCCTTCGCCCTTCCCTTAGTTGAAGCAAACTCATGTTCAATCTCTTATCGTTTCTACCATTTTTGGGAAAGGATCGTAGATTGGAGACTAAAAGCCTCTCGGGCCATCAAATGGTATTAGTTAGTTATTTGGCATAGCGAGCGGGCTTTACCCTAGAAGGGTTTCTTTATAGACAGAAGACCAGATGATGTTGGCTAACGATGAGGGGTATTGAGACGTCGTCAGGGAATCAGAATATCAAACCTCTCGGAGGTCAATCATCCAAGTTGGTGCTCATCTTCGCCTCCAGGTACTCCATTGAAATCCAGTTTAATGAGAACGCATTTCATTTTTTCTGAGATGGGGTAAGAGGCAAGTCGTTCGAATCAGCAGCATGGGCATTCCCCTCATGAAGTCCCTTTGTGACTGTTGGGCTCGGGCTTCTCATGAGCAAATCTAGCTAGCCCGACTAAAGAAGTGTGGGTCACTTCATCCCTAGAAAGAAGGTCGATGAAGGAAGTAACGGCCATCCGCGGGCTAGCGCACATTGCTTCTTATCTCTCTACCGAGGCCTCCCTCCCAGAATGACTCAACTCCACAACACCAGAGTCCTTTCAACCTCTTGATGTTGCAAGCCTGAGTGACCTGAGACTGATAGAACACTTTTAGTAGAGGCTAAAGATGTATAAATTTTGATGAGGATTAGCTTGTTAGTAGAATTTTTTAAGAAATAATAGATAAATCAGAAACGAATAAACAAGTATGCACCTTTCAAGTCTTCTCCTGCAAGAACCACCTCGGGTTTCTGTCGACCCACCACTCTAGTAGTTTTTGCGTGAGCAGTTTTTGTGTGAACAATCAAATGGGCCTTCTTCTTGGCCTCTTAAGCATCAACTGCTACCTCCCTCTCAAACTCTTGAGCGTTGGAAGCTTTTCAGTCATCCTCGATCAACTGGCTAAAATCCTCTAGTTGTAGCACCCTGTCGATAATTATTGGGTTGAGATGTTAACGGATCGAAAGCTTGAGCCCCTCGACATCAAGCTTCCACTAACATTTGATATGACACTTTCTTCTTTGACTTGTTGGAGCATCACCAAACGAGATAATATGGGTGTACCATCTTTAAAGGGGAAGAGCCCAAGCAGAAATGAAGCTTACAGTCCTTAATCTTATTTTACAGCCACAACAGTTGGAACTCGCCTATATAGGCAAACAAAATTAGGCCATCTTGGCCCACCAGTAATGAGCAAAAGTAGTTGAAGAGCTCGATTGACCACGGAATCTCTGGCCATTGATAGAAGATGATGAAGGTCATAGCGACCACTATGGAAATACGTATTATTTAAGCGCGAATGATTCCATAGTGAGTGAAGATGGCCCACAATTGTCCACAAAAAGGCAATTTAGATCGAAAAGAAATTGATCCTTATAGGAGACAATGTCTAAACCATACAAAGCAATCGTTCATTCATCCTACTCAGTAACTCAAAGCCCATTGGTGGGATTAAAGATAGCGGTCTCTTGCAATTGATCCACCTCCCTCAAAGACATCCATGATTGGTCATTCAATTCGATCGATCAAAAGAGCTTGGGAGAATGCTTCGAAGGTATTGAACCAACCCACAATTACTTCTATTTTTAATCTCCTTAATTTTACCATAAAATATATCTCAAATTATATCTAGCGGCTAGTGTGAACAAATATTATGATTTATAATATATTTTCACACTATGGAAACTACGCAAGTATATGTATCATTTCAAGTAATATATAATTTTTCTTAAAAACCCTAGTATCAATCTCACGATGAATGTGATAACTCTTAAAATCAACTTACATAAATTTTATTTAAATTACAAATTAAAAAGATAAGAAGTTTAAAATGACATGCTTACTAAAAATTACTACTTAAGAGCTAAGAAAGAAAGTAACAACTAAATGTAACAGCTTAAGAAAATATAACAACGAGTTTGGATATTATGAAAAATCTTTCCCCTTAAAAAGAGATTTTAATTTATGTAAGATTTAAATGATTTAAAACAAAATTTATGTATTGTGACAAATAGATGTATACATTATTCTTTACCCCCTCCCGGTGTTTGCAAAGAACATTAGTTAACTTAAGGTCAATTCCTTAACACCTCAATTCCACATCAGTGTTATCTAGCATCTCACCTCTAGATGCCCCTATTTTATGTCACTGTGATGACCGCATTTCAGCTCAGAGTACTAAACCTTAAGCCAAATTGATAAGAATCTAGTCTTTCACTCTAGATCTAACCAATTCTACGCCCATAGGAACTTATCTTCTTATTTATTTGTACTCCCGCTTAGGTGATCACAATGGCTCTGCCTAGAATGAAGTGTGGTATCCACTAGTTGGGTGAAATCATAGCTCTCCTAGGCCATTATGTTTTTCAACGGATTTTAACCTCACAAGTGACCAGTTTACAAAGTAAATGAAGATTCTGTGAAAATATCATCACAAATTTTAAGAGTAAAAAGAAATCTTTAAATCATTATCATCCCACAAGATTAAGTCCCATATGCAAGAAGAAAGAAATGAAACTACTCAGAATTCATGGATATTAAACAAAAATAAAATATTTGCATTGAAATCCAAGTCTTACAACAAAAACTTAAACACGAATACAAAGTACCTTATGTCTTCTTCCTAAGTAAACTTCTTGAGTTTTCTTTAAACAATCTCCAAACTTCTTCACATTAAATCACACTCACATTTGCACTTTAACACAAAATATGATAAACCTAATTTACTATTGCAGACCAATTGAAGTTTTAAGGCTCCAAAAGGTCCCTAATTTGACCAAATCCTTATCATTAAATAGAAAACAAAATAACCAAGGGTTGCTTCAAACACCCCTCTAAAATTTAGTCAAATTCGATGTATCTTCTAGAAAAATAGTTACGAACGCTATAGTGTCAGTCTGGGGCGCTATAGCGCTCTTCTCGCTCGTATGTGGCATTATAATGCCAAGGGGTGGCACTATAGCGCCACACAAATATTTTCAATTTTGCTCCATGTTTCCCTCATTTTTTCTAAATGTTCATTCTATGTACCTGAAATAAAAAACATGCAAAATATCTTCCTTTAACGTGCAATATCATTAAAAATGTAAATAAAATGCTTATAAAAAATGCACTAAAAATAGGTTATTTTTAGGTGGATAAGCTATCAAACATATTGTAAAAAATGAAAGCCAAGAAAATAATGAGAAGAGAGAGGAAAAAGGCATAAAAATGTGTAACATCATCAATCCCACACCATTTATATGTAGGGAA